GTAAAAGGCTAAGGCAACATACAAAATACGAAGGACTGCATTTAAAGGGGAAACATGTAAGCAATTAGAAGGCTCATGTATACCTCCGCAAATAATGCATATCAATAGCACGACTTAAACACAGTTAAGGTCTGAATTTAAAAAATCCTAAAGTAGGGTGTTTGAGTCAGAACCAGATTCATTATTAACTCAGAAAAGAAGTCTGAATCATGCATGCCTGCTGGTTGTAGCAATTGATAATTAACAAAGGCAATTCCAGTTTTTATTCAAGTTATTACCTAAGGCTTGCCTAGGCGTAGAATAATGCAATATTCAGTAGTTATTCAAAATCATTAAGCCATTTAGAGATTATTATCATTACCTAAACATGTTGTTCTAGGTGTTCAGCACCTAGAATTATTGCCAGTTAGTTGTAAAAGAACTGAGTGAAATTGCTTATTCCCTTTTTATGCATTCCTAGTTAGCCTAAGCGAATATGAGAGAAATCCTATAGACATGGTATCTAATGCACGGGGATGCAGAATGACAAATATGTAGAATCCTAAGCAAGATTTCTATATGCACCAATATTTAAACATGATTCCCAGAATATGCAAAGATGGTATGCTTATTAGTGTTCTTTAGCCTAAAACAGGATCTCTAAGTGTGCATGGCAGTAGGAACATGATTGCAGAAACACTAGTTATTAACACATTTAGCGCAGGAATTTCTAAGTAATATGATAGTGAAATGGACATGCTAAAAACAGTAAGTGTGAATCCTAAGGAGCATGATTTCTAATGCATGAAATTAGTCCTAAGCATGGATTCTATTATGCAAGTAGGAATGTAAACCTAGTAGCATGCTTTCTACCCTTTTGATAGCTAAAACATGCATATTCACCCCTTCTCTTTTCCACTAGCCAGCCCCATAATTGTTTACAAGTTATTACCGACTAAATGATTGAATTGCAAGAAAAAGTGCAAAAATAAGAAGTTACAACCATTGGAAGCCTGATCTTGACATCCTCTCTGAGTTATGTAATGAACCACTTCAATGCCAATATAATTCCAAAGCCTTTCTCATATCTGGGTGTGTCAGAGTTCCCTAAGGACCTCAAGGGATCTCGGGCTAGGACATGCACAACAATAGCTGATACTGGCATGATCATAGGCTAGTCAGAAAAACATAAGCACATTGAAGGGGATAGGGACTTGGGATGGCAAGTACACAATAAGTGACTGACAGGGTATGCCTTTTAACACACATAGAGGAATGCATTAATCTAGAGGGGAAGGGGGAGTATTATGGCATGCTGGTAATGCATCTTAACAGAACCACAAGCAGAAGTAGACAAGAATGAGAGAAACTGAAACAACTAAGGAAGCATGTTGTTGTTGGAGCTTAAAAATTAAACTAGGACGTACCAGTCAAAGAAGCAAAGTGTAGAAAAGAAAAGTAAACAGGATTCCACAGTCTAGCCTTGGCTTTCAGCCGACTAGACAAAGTAGTAGCACAAGTAGTAGTAGAGAGAGAGAGTGTTTTAAGTTTTGTACGAGTGTGTTTTTGAACTCAGTTGTTCGTGTGTTTAAAGAAGTTAGGGTGGGGGTATTTATAGTTTTGAAAACGAGTAGAGAATAAAGTAACAAGTAAAGTTTTAACACAAACATGGAAATAATCACAATCAGAATCAATTAACACAAGTACTTTCCTTTAATAAGGGAATTACTGTTCAAATGGATAATGACATGAATAATTAAGGAAAGAAAACCAATTTGAGAAAGATTGATTTCTGACCATATAGAGGATATTAAAAGTATAGAGTAAATAATTGAGTCTAAGTACAAAATATACTTAATTTTGGGAAAGGGATTCAGCAGGGTAAAATATCATAGCAAATAAAGAAAGGAATCAATCACTTAAACAAGCGAGTAAAATTAGGGTTAATAAGAAAACCTTGCAATTAAACCGTCACTTAAGGAAATCAAGATTAATCAAGAAGGAAACATGATTTTGCACTTTGCCATATAAATAGAGAAGGATGAACGAGAGTGTCAGACATGCAAGGCCAATCATATTTCCAAAAGAAGCAACACAAACATATAGTAGTAGCAGGAGTAAGCTAGGATCCAGTAGTAAAAGAAATCTACTCGAAACATCCATGGATTAGGTAGGGATTGAAAGGGATTAGGGTGGATTTGGGTGGCAGTGGCTAGGGTTATCCTTAGGTTTCAGAGAGAATTTGAGAGGAGAGGGATTCAAGGGCGGCGGACTGGTGAGAAATGATTTAGGTTAGGGGGTCGTTTGGGTTTAAAAATGGTAGCTGAAATGGTGGCCATTAATCTGAATGATCAACGGCCTAGATTAAAAGGGGTAGGTGGGGATCTGGGTTTGGGTAGGATTTAATTGAGTAAGGGTCAGGTTTAAATTACAATTGGGTTGGGAAATTTGGGGTCGGATTTAGGCTATAATTGAAACACAAATGGGCTGTAATTTAAATAGCGATTTTTCCCTTTTTAATTTATAAAAAATGGTAAATAGCTTCTGAAAATAAATTGAAAATACTTAATTGATTTATGACACCTAAATAACAATTTAAAATACAAGACTCAATTTTACGAATATAAGACACCATTAAACCTTAAAATGGCTAATAATGCAATTGTGTGCAATTTAGCTTTAAAAATACTAAATAAATTATAAAAATATGTAAAAGATTCATTTGCCATATTTTGGCATAAATATAGAAATCCAATAGATGAATTATCAAAATAATAAATTTGGAAATAATTATTGAGATTTTATGAATAAAAAGGGAAAAAATAAATCAATTTATACCTTTAAAAATTATGGAAAAATAATAAAATATTTGGACATGCCTACATATGCATATATATGCTATTTCAAAGTTATTTTGCATATTAAAAATATATAGGGAAAAATTGGGTATCAACAACTGCCCCTCTTTACACGGGAAGGATGAAAGAGTTGTCGGGTAAAGATATGGTGGCCAATTTTGACCGAGCGAAACGGTTTGAAGAGGTTTAGGCCGCACCATAGCTTCTAGTTGCCTACATATCCTTGGTTCTACAGGAATCAAACTGTATGTAGTTCGGGATCCGTCGGCGGAGTATACCGATGAAGGCATTTCAAAAACGGACGCAATATCTAGGGCCGGGTGAGTGGACGAATTATGGGAATGGTTAGGTTTGATATGGCTGTGGGAACTAGAGCGGGATCGCACCTATTGGTATGGCCGTTGCTCGCCGTATTACCTGCAAATAGAAGCAATACATGCGTATATTGTGCATAAATTTAAACATGATGCAAATTCCCGTCGGACCATAAATGTTGTCTTTGGACGGTTAGGAATGGCGTCCTCAGACCATGATGTCCTGGGCCATGAAGCATATGATAAAGGATTTGCAGGCCATGAAATGATGTTCTCGTGCTATGAGGATGGTGCCTCCAAACCATGACGCCTTTGAATAATGATATGCAAAATTGAAAGAGATCCTCAGGCCATGACATGGTGTTCTCGGGCTATGAAGATGGTGCCTCCGAATGATGATTTCTTTGGATGAGTTGGCAATATTTCAACCCATGAAGGATGCAGTAGTATGATGTGGACAAGATAGAGCTTAGTATTGCGAATTGAAGGGTAGAGCTTGGCCCGTAATAAAAATGAAATAAACAGTGCTTGAGATAGTGCTTAGTTTTGAAGAAAATAGGAGGCAGAGCTTAGCCTCAGAAGGCAGAATGATAGCCTTATGCACATGTACGAATGCAGTTGGAGGTAGAGCTTAACCTCGGAAAGCAGAATGGTAGCCTTATTCAGATTGGAAGGCAGAATAGTAGCCTTATGCAATGTAAATGCAAATGGAGACATCGTTTAGTATCGGAAGGCAGAATAGTAGCCTTATGTAATGCAAATGCAGATGGAGACAGCGTTTAGTCTCAGAAGGAAGAATAATAGCCTTATGCAAATTGGGAGCAGAATAGTAGCCTTATGCAAATTGGAAGGCAGAATAGTTGCCTTATGTAATGCAGATGCAGATGGAGACAACGTTTAGTATCAGAAGGCAGAATAGTAGCCTTATGCAAATAGGAAGGAATAATAGTAGCCTTATGCAATATAGATGCAGATGGAGACATCGTTTAATCTTGGAAAACAGAATAGTAGCCTTATGCAATAAATAAGATAGCAAATGATAGTAGAGTTTTCTTAGCTGATAGCAGATTGCGACATTATGATTACTGGGAGCATTACTTGTGCATGCTGATAGCAAATGTTGGCAAGTGCAACGATTCAGAGGGTCGTATTCTTGAACAATCAATACTACAAATAAGGCCTTTAGCGGCAATACAAAATGGCTTTAGCAGCAACAATAATAGCCGCTATATCTTTTACCGGCCATTGGTCTTTTGCCGCTGAAACTGCGGTCGGCAAAGCCTTTAGCGGCTATTCTCGCAAAAGATGGTAAACGGTATTTTTATTGCCGCTATAAGTTATATCTTTAACGGCAATTATTTGCAACAATTATAATGACTACTAAATCCAATCCAAAATGACTAATTATACTTCTTTAGCGTCCATTATTATAGCCGCTACATTCAAAATAATTGCCGCTAAAAATCGCATCTTGAAGGGCAATTATTTGTGGCAATTATAATGGCTACTAATTCCAATCTAAACCGCTAATTATACTTCTTTAGCATCTATTTTTTATAGCTGCTAAATTAAAAATAATTGCCACTAAAAATTCGCATCTTTAATGGCAATTATTTTGTGGCAATTAAAATGACCACAATATTCCTTCTGAAAACATCTTAGTTTGCCCTTTTATATTCTATTCTAATGGCTAATATGTTTAACTAAATTGCCGCTAAATGTCAATATCTTTAACGATAATTTTTTACATGAATTATAAATAATTTAGCCACAATTAATAATAGTTACTACATTCGTACAAAATAAGACTCAAATAATAAAATATATTAATATTAATTCAAAAAAAAAACATAATGTATCTCATTAATCTTAACAAACAAAAGAAAGTACTAATCAAAAACATTAGTATCACAGTAATTTAAAACATAAAAATATATTGTTTAGACCAAATAGCCAATGTCATTATATAACTAATCCAGACGAATGATAGTTTTTATGATTTTGAAATCTTTCACTCGCTAAATTATCCAACATCAGACAGTATGACCTGAAATTAAATAATTGTGTCAAAAGATAAAGTATAATGTGAAACAATATCTTGATCATTCCATCACTGTTAGAGTAGCCAACTACCTCACCTAACATAATGGTGAACCAACAACAACCAAAGAAGATTACTACCAAGGGGAAAGAAATTGCCCAAGGAGAAAGTAGTACAACAATAGCTCATATGCAAATCAATGCCAAAGCACAAAACGAAAGAAAAGTGACCAAACAAATCTATATACCAATCAATCAAGTTCCTGAACCACAGAGACAACCTACTACAAGAACAACTGAGACAACTAACAATGTGGGGGAGAACAAGGATAACAGAGGAACTAATACTTTAACAGAAGTTGTGAAGGAAAAGAATCTCTAGGTGATGAACATAGGAGATGAGTTACTAGCTAGAACAGAACAATTTCCTGAAAATCAGAGACAACCTATAACAATTGCAGCTGAGACAAATAATACAATGAGCGAGAATAAGGAAAATGGAAGGGCTGATTTTGTAATAGAAGGATTTATAAAAACTATAATTCAGCTAAATAACTATAATGTCTTTGCATTAGAAGGATTTATAAAAATAAAACTTATATTCTCTTGCTACACATGTAATTCAGTTAAATAAGAGTTTTCCTCAAAAGTATCACTTCTATTTTATAAAGTGAGACACTTCAAACTGCTAACTTAGATTCGGTAGTTTGGACATGCAATATAACTCTAGTTTTAATTCAAAAACAACGACTGAACCTATGAACAAGATACGTGAGACATTAAAAACACATATTAAATTAACATTTGCATTACTAACTTACGGTAGGTGAGTGAACAGAAACTAACTTATCATTCCAGCTGGAATGTTTAATATTTAAACTAGTAGATTTAAAATTGATCATTTATTTTCTTAACATGTAGCAATCTTAAAAGACATTCACCTAGCATAGCAATCATTGAGTAATACTTTCGTGATTTAAAGTACAAAAGCAACTAGAACTAACAATATTTTTATAACATAATCCAAATCACAAATATATCTGAATAAAATTAACATAGTCAAATCAATAGAGTATTAACACGAAGAGATATTGAAAGCTTACAAACCCAATAGTTCATATCCATTTAAATCCACGATTCAAATAAAATTACTTTATGCTTAAATTAATAGGATTATCTTTAAGTATAGTCTGCTATAAATAACTTTTAACAATCGAAAGTAAATATATAACATTAGGAAAAACAAAGGATTCAATTCAATCAGTTGCACTCCAATTTAACAACATCCAATCACAAATCACAACATAGTTGGCAAAACAATTATCACACAAACTGCCATAGTTAGACGTCACACATCGTCTTAGGCTCAAGAGTTTGGGTACCTGGTAGGCAGAATACTTTGATGATGAAGATAAAAAAGTGAACGATAAGAACAATTTCTGCAACAATCTCGAAACCTACATAAAAAGAAAAGATTGAGAGTTAAACAACAATGATGTCTCAATAACCTTTAAAGAAATAGTAAAAAAAATTAGACATCTGACTGATTAGAAATAGCTATTGGAACGAACAGATGCACTATGCAGATATTAGCAGAGAACTGCCAAACATTCAGTTTTAGAAATTACAGAAGCACTATGGGAAGTTTTTATTTTTTTATAATCCATTTGAATGTCTTGGAAAAGACAGTTCACATCAAAGTTTCAGAAACTTGACGTTTCTCTAATGGATCGATACGACATGTGGACAGAATTAGCATCCATGAAAATCATCTTCTTCTTTTTTTACCACCACTGTGGAATTAATATTAATTTTTACTTATCCATTTGCACCGGAGAGGATGGTATTTCAAATCCTATCCTCTTGGATAAGGCCAGTTAGTTCTTTTTGGCCCTGTCCCTCTTTCATATCCCATTAAACCCACACTTCTTTTTATTTAATAAAGTTTTTAGTTATTGGCCATTTTTGTCAGATTTGTGCTTAATATAGGTAGTAAAATATTACTTATTGATCGCAAACCGTTCCACATCCCAAAATAATCTAAGATAAAGCAAAATTCTTGACAAGCTTCCCATCTACAAGCACATTTTTGACACACTTGTCATATTTATCTATTTCATAGTTTCTTTTCGTTCAAATATATATTTTAGCATCCCAAAAGCTAGTAATATTAGCAAGAGCAAGAAAATAATTTCTTCATCTCACTGACCTCAAAATCATAACCAGAAATAACATCAATTTTCAATCCTTTAAGCAACCCATTATTGGTTTCTTTGATGTGATTTCCATGAGCACTAGAACCTAACACCAAAGTCTTCCTTGACACCACTTTATATATTTCTTCCAATAGTTTCAAGAATGTTGACTCTATATTGTGGCCGCTAAGAGCTGATGTCTCAGAAAAAACAACCCTTGCCTCTCTGCAAATTCGACTGCATCTTCAGTTGAAACTGCCCTCAAGTCGACTAGATCGGCTTTTTTACCGATCAATGTGATCATAATAGAACTATCGGCATGAGCCCTGAGTTCATCATCCCAAAATATAGGTTCTTTACGTGAAATCTCATAATTAATTAATCTTAATGTTTGTGTAAGATATTATTTCATAAACGCGACTCAAAGCTTTTGGAGCCAACAGATGCACTATGCAGATATTAGGAGAGAACTACCTAACAATCAGTTTTAGAAATTACAGAAGCACAACGCTCTAGTTTAGATGGTCCTCCAACTACAAGGAATATCAAGAGTTCGGAAAATCACGTTTTGGGCAGTTTTGATACAGTCAAAACTCAAGCACGAAGGAGTAATTAGATTCTTGAATCTAGAAAATTATACAAACCACCAATACCAAATTAGAAAAGATACTAAGAAAATTCTCATTCAAGAATTAAATCTCTCATACCCAGAAATTAGAAATTTTCATCAACTCATAGACCTACCCAATTAAAAACCTAAAGATAAGTAGAAATACTTACCAAGAATTTTGATGGTGGCCAGAAATTTGGTTGCCGATGGTGATTTAGAGAGCAAAGTGATGCTGGCCGGAAATTTAATTTAGAGAGCAAAGTGATGGTGGCCGTATGAATTGTTTTCTTTAATCTAATTTCTAGGTATGAGAGAGTACGAGAGGGTATAACATTTTTGCGGGAGAGAATTTAGAGAAAAAATTAGAATATGGAGGGAATACAAAAAGTAAAAAATAAAACTTTACCGTCTATATTCTTATCGCCACTAAAACTATAATATTTACCGATTAATATTCATTGGCCGCTAATATTTGCCTTCTGCGAATAAATTAGCGGCAATTGATCTATTGCCACTAATGCCCCTTTTCGTTGTAGTGGTTTGTTCCATGGGCGTACAATATGTTTAAGGACTTCACAAATCTAGTGCCTGCATCCAAAGAAAAAGTCACGAGTTTTGTAAAGGGGGAATGTTAGATCGTATCCCTGCTGGCTTTGCTTGACCTGCTTGGCTTTGATCTGGTGTTACTATATATATCATTGGGGTAGCGTTGCTAAACAAAGCAGTTTCTATAATAAACATGCATGATTTTGTAAAGATATGACATAAGTGTATCATTAAAAATAGCTTTTAGATGAACCGACGAATGTGACGTGGCTCGGGACATTGCATCCTCTCTTGCTACAGAATTTTGAGGGTCCTCCTCAAAATTCTGCCCTAGTTTAATGGGTTGACATTTTTGGCTATTGGTTATGCGATGATTGGCTGAAATTACTTCGGAAATTTGAGGGTCCTCCTTAAAATTCTGACCCAATTTTCAATTTGCGGGGTGAAATGAAATTTTTGTTGAATTGTGACCAAACCCGTAGGGCTGCCTACGTATCCCCTCTTAAACAAGAATTAGGTCTGGCGTAGTTTAATTTACATCATATAAGGAAAGCATAAAGATTATACGTAGTAACACTTGACTGCATCTGAATTGATCGACTTCGGCTAGACTTCTCTGTCCATTTCTGCAAGGATGAGGGCTCCTCCTGTTAGAACCCGGTGAACCATGTATGGACCCTGCTAGTTGGGAGAGAATTTCCCTTTGGCTTCATCATGTTGCGGGAAAATTTTCTTTAACACCAGCTGCCCCGGTGTGAATTGTCTCGGCTTTACTCTTTTGTTGAAGGCTTTGGACATTCTGTTCTGATAGAGTTGACCATGGCAGACTACATTCATTCTCTTTCCATCTATAAAGGCTAATTGCTTATAACAACCTTTTACCCACTTTGTGTCGTCGAGTTCAGCTTCTTGTATGATCCTTAGGGAAATTTCTACCTCACCAGGAATGACAGTCTCTGTACCATAAACCAACATATAGAGGGTTGCCACGGTTGATGTGCGGACTATGGTACGATACCCTAATAGAGCAAATGATAACTTCTTGTGCCACTGTTTATGCTTTTCTATCATTTTCCTTAATATCTTCTTGATATTCTTGTTGGCAGCTTCTACAACTCCATTCATTTGAGGCCTGTAGGCTGTGGAATTCTTGTGTCTGATCTTGAAAATTTCACACATAGCTTTCATCAAGTTGATGTTGAGGTTGGATCAATTATCAGTAATGATTGACTCTGGAATCCTGAATCGACAAATAATACGGTCGCGGACAAAGTCTGCCATGACTTTCTTAGTCATTGCTTTGTAAGATATTGCTTCGACCCATTTGCTGAAATAGTCGATGACTACTAGGATAAACCTATGTCCATTGGAAGCGGTAGGCTCGATTGGTCCAATAACGTCCATTCCCCAGGCGACAGATGGCCACGATGAGGTTGTTGCATTAAGCTCATTTGGAGGTACCTTTATCATGTCTGCATGTATCTGACAACGATAGCATTTTCGGACATACTGGATGCAGTCTGTTTCCATAGTCATCCAAAAGTAACCAGCCCGGAGTATCTTCTTTGCTAAGACAAAATCATTCATATATGGACAGTAGGTCCCTGCATGAATTTCCTCTAATAGCCTGGATGCTTCCTTTGCATCGACACATCTCAATAATCCTAAGTCGAGAGTCCTCCTATACAAGATTCCTCCGCTGTAAAAGAAGTTGTTGGACAATCTCCAAAGTGTACGTTTCTGAGTAGGATTTGCAACTTCTGGGTACTCTCCTTTTGCCAGATATTCCTTGATATCATGAAACCAAGGCTTTCTGTCTACTTCCTCTTCAATATGGGCACAATAAGCTGGCTGATCATGGATTTTCACTGCAATGGGATCAATAAAGTTCTTGTCTGTATGCTGTATCATAGATGATAGGGTAGCCAATGCATCAGCGAACTCATTCTGGATTCTAGGAACATATTGGAATTCTGTCTTCGTGAACCTCTTTTTCAATTCCTGTACGTGGCAAATACGGGAGTATCTTAGAGTTCTTGGTTGCCTATTCTTCTTGTACCTGATGTATAAGTAAGTCTGAATCTCCAATTACTAGAAGCTCTTGAACGTTCATGTTAATGGCTATTTTGAGTCCTAAGATGCAGGCTTCATACTCAACTATATTGTTGGTGCACGGGAACCTGAGTTTGGCAGACACCGGATAATCCTAACCGGTTTCTGATACTAGGACTGCTCCTATTCCAACTCCTTTAAAGTTTGCCGCTCCATCGAAAAACATTTTCCAACCGTCATAAGATTTTGCAATGTCTTCTCCTATGAACGATACATCTTTATCAGGAAAGTATGTTTCCAAGGGTTCATATTCTCCATCCATGGGATTTTCAGCAAGGTAGTCTGCTAGTGCCTGTCCCTTGATCATTTTTTGAGTTACGTAGACAATGTCAAACTCACCCAACAGGATTTTCTACTTGGCTAGCTTGCCAGTGGGAATGGCATTCTAAAAGATGCACTTCAAAGGATCCATCCTTGATATGAGATATGTAGTATGGGCACAGAAGTAATGTCTCAGCTTCTGAGCTACCCAAGTCAAAGCACAACATGTGCGTTCCAATAGAGAATACCAGGCCTCGTATGGGGTGAACTTCTTGCTGAGATAATAAATGACTTGTTCCTTTCTCCCCGTTTCATCATGCTATCCCAGAACGCAATTGAAAGCTCCATCTAACACTGCAAGGTAGAGTAGTAAGGGTCTACTTGGCTCGGGCGGGACTAAGACTGCTGGTGTTGACAAGTACTCCTTGATTTTGTTGAAGGCCTTTTGGTAGTCATCGGTCCATTTGATAGTGGCGTACTACTTCAACATCTTAACGATTGGCTTATAGATAACTATAGACTGTGCTATGAATCGGCTGATGTAGTTAAGCCTCCCCAAGAAACTCATCACATCTTTCTTGTTCTTTGGTGGTGACAATTCTTGAATGGCTTTGACTTTTTATAGATCTAGTTCTATTCCTCTGCGGCTTACGATAAACCCAAGCAATTTCCCAGCAGGAACCTTGAATGCACACTTTGCAGGATTTAGTTTCAGGTTGTACCTCAGCAATCTATTGAAGAACTTCCTCAGATCTTCCATGTGGTCAGTGGCCTTCTTGGATTTGATAATAACATCGTCCATATATACATCTATCTCCTTATGTATCATATCATGGAATATGGTAGTCATGGCCCTCATGTAGGTGGCCCTTTAATTTTCAAGCCGAATGGCATCATCTTGTTACAGTACATTCCCATGGTGAAATGAAGCCGTTTTCACATCATCTTCTTCATCCATCTAGATCTGATGATAACCAGTGAAGCAATCTACAAATGATTTCAGCTCATGCTTGGTACAATTGTCAATAAGGATGTATATATTCGGCAAAGGGAAGTCATCTTTCGGACTGGCCTGGTTGAGATCCCGGTAGTCGACATAGACTCTGACCTTCCCGTCCTTCTTTGGCACTGAAACGATGTTGGCTAACCATGTCGTGTATTCTACTACCCTGAAAACCATAGCTTTGACCTGCTTGGCGACTTCTTCCTTGATTTTCAAACTCATATTGGGTTTGAACTTTCTGAGCTTTTGTTTTACCGATGGTCATGTTGGATCGGTTGGTAGTTTATGAGCCACAATAGACGTACTCAAACCAGTCATGTCATCATACGACCAGGTGAATATGTCCTCATATTCCTTTATAAATTCTGTGTATTCTTCCTTTTCTGATGGCGATAGGTGAATGCTGATTCGTGTTTCCTTGAAATTTTCTGCATCTCCCAGGTTAATAGTTTTGGTCTCGTCCAGGTTGGACTTAGGTCTATTTTCAAAATTCTCAACTTCTCTAACAATCTCGTCAGGTATGTCATCTTCCTCTGAATAATGTCCGTTTTTTGCGTTGTCTCATTGCATGTCACACTCATTGGTTCATCAAGACAAGTAATAGTAATGCTATATAAGTAAAGTAATAAGAGAAAATGATAATGAGTGTTGATTCATAAGAAGAGTCAAAATGCTTTGATAAATTGCATAACTGTTTTGAACATTGAAGATCTTATTGCGGGAATTGAAAATGCGAAAAGAAAATCATTTAGTAAAAACAATGAATAATGCTTGTTTTAGCCTTGCTACCCCGAGGCTTATCGGGCTTTGGTCATTCTGATGGTCCAATTATTGAGGCGTGTCCCTCTACTCGCAGTCTGTATGGAAGGGCCTTCTTTCTCCTCCTCCTCCTCCTCCTCGAGGACAACACAACAGTCTATATCATTGTCTTCTAGGAACAAGTTCTTCACCGCTACAAGTGCCTCTTCTTCATCTAATCCATAAACAATGTCGGCCTATTGGAAAGTCTGCTCCAGGCACGGTATTGGCTGCTCCAATGGATAGTAAGGACCGCGCCATAGTGGCAACCAGTTGTTGACTTCTACCTAGGTGTAATCATATCCCAGACCAAAAGTAGTACCATGCTTCTTGAGTTTTATGGGCTTAAAGATTCCTTGGAGGTTCTTGCCGAGCCCTTTACTAGGTTCGTACCCACTCCAATTCAGTATACTCTCAATTTTGTTATCCATCCATTTGTCTTTGTCGATAGCATTGACCCGTTCGATGTGGCGGTAAGTTTCTCTGCCTAGTTTCCTTCTTCCCTTGATCACCAGAATGGTCTGGCAACTGTATTTAAGGTTGCTACCGTCACCGTAAATAATCACCTCTTGGTGATTCCATTCAAACTTCACTGCTTGATGCAGTGTTGATGCTACGGCCCCAGCAACATGAA